CCTCGATAATGTGAATGTTGTTGCAGTTAATGTTGTCCCAGAGGTCTCTTAGGCTGTCTTCATTTCTTTTCATTCTTTTTTCTTTATTCTGTTCTGCAATAGTGAATTCCACCATTCTGTCTTCCAGGTCACTTATCCGTTCTTCTGCCTCAGTTATTCTGCTATTGATTCCTTCTAGTGTAGTTTTCATTTCAGTTATTGTATTGTTCATTTCTGTTTGTTTGTTCTTTAAATCTAGGTCTTTGTTAAACACTTCTTGAATCTTCTCGATCTTTGCCTCCGTTCTTCTTCTGAGGTCCTGGATCATCTTCACTATCATTATTCTGAATTCTTTTTCTGGAAGGTTGCCTATCTCCACTTCATTTAGTTGTTTTTCTGGGGTTTTATCATGTTCCTTCATGTAGTACATAGCCCTCTGCCTTTTCATCTTGTCTATCTTTCTGTGAACGTAGTTTTTGTTCCACAGGCTGCAGGACTGTAGTTCTTCTTGCTTCTGTTGTCTGCCCTCTGGTGGATGAGACTATCTAAGAGGCTTGTGTAAGTTTCCTGATGGGAGGGACTGGTGGTGGGTATAGCTGACTGTTGCTCTGGTGGGTGGAGCTCAGTAAACCTTTAATCTGCTTGACTGCTGATGGGTGGGGCTGGGTTCCCTCCCTGTTGGTTGTTTGGCCTGAGGCGACCCAACACTGGAGCCTACCTGGACTCTTTGGTGGGGCCAATTACAGACTCAGGGAGGGCTCATGCCAAGGAGTACTTCCCAGAACCTCCACCACCAGTGTCCTCGTCCCCACGGTGAGCCACAGCCACCCCCCGCCTCTGCAAGAGACCCTCCAATACTAGCAGATAGGTCTGACTCAGTCTCCCCTGGGGTCACTGCTCCTTCCCCTGGGTCCCGATGCACACATGACTTTGTGTGTGCCCTCCAAGAGTGGAGTCTCTGTTTCCCCCAGTCCTGTCAAAGTCCTGCAATCAAATCCCACTAGGCTTCAAAGTCTGATTCTCTAGAAATTCCTCCTCCCGTTGCCGGAACCCCAGGTTGGGAAGCCTGATGTGGGGCTCAGAACCTTCACTCCAGTAGTTGGACTTCTGTGGTATAAGTGTTCCCCAGTCTGTGAGTCACCCACCCAGCAGTTATGGGATTTGATTTTACTGTGACTGCACCCCTCCTACTGTCTCATTGTGGCTTCTCCTTTGTCTTTGGATGTGGGGTACCCTTTCTGGTGAGCTCCAGTGTCCTCCTGTCGACGACTGTCCAGCAGCTAGCCGTGACTCTGGCGTTCTCACAAGAGGGAGTGAGCGCACGTCCTTCTGCTCCACCACCTTCGTCCCTTATCTAGCCAGGACATTTAACGTGGCTCCAACAGCATTCCACAAGGCCAGAGATAACAGCTGTCCATGTTATTGATGTTCCCTCCTTCCCCCCCATCTCCCTTCCTTCTTCCCTCCCTCCCTTCCTTCCACCTAGCTATCCATCCATCACGTCTGTGTGTCTATGTATCTATCTGTCGTCCATCTATCTATGTCTATCATTTATCTGTCTATGCCTTATTTAGTAGAAATGTATTACATGTCCAATACATGGTTCTGAGCTGGGTGTTGGGAGGGGAAAGCAAAGATCTTAGCTCCCCTCCAGGACCTAAGTGATATCATCTCTTTTCTGGGGTTCTCTTTTAGGATGGGGGAAACTTTCCCTAAATCTCCCTAACAGACATCCCTCATCTTTCCACAGCTCCCCCAGCCCTGCCCCACCGCCCACTCAGCAGACATTGGGCAGATGTGGACTAATGTTCATTCCTGAACCAATTGCTGGCAATGAAGTGATGGAGATTTGCTTAGACTAATCACTGGGGTGAAATGGGTGTTGGGGGTCCACAAAGGGACCGCCAGGGAACACAGTAAAGACCACCTACTGTGGCCTAGGACATGTGTGACATGGCATCAGGAAATACAGTGGAAAGGAAGGAGGGCAGGGAGATTTATTCTGGAGGCAGAGGGGACCTTCTGAGGGATTTTAGGGAATAACGGGAACTGGGAGACAGACAAACAGATGCAGAGGCTGGAGGCACGAGATGCGAGGCCCGTTAAAGTTTCTTTGAGGAGTGGGGGAGAGGTAAGGAGAGGTGGCAGTGAGGGACAACAGTGAGGAAGGTTGTGCCCTCCAGCTCAGACGTAAAAGCAACTGGACTGACAGAATGACTGCATAAAGTCTGGATGGTGGTCTCGTGATTTTAAGCCTGAGTTCCTGGGAAAATGGCAGTCTCTCTCTCTCTCTCTCTCTCACACACACACACACACACACACACACAGAGTAAAGGGATCAAGAGATGGAGCTGGCTGACCACCCCCTTCACTCAGCTTAGGACCCTGGTTCCACCTGTAGCATTCCCTCAAGACCAGGCTGAAACGTCAGCAAGACCCTGTGCAGGTTTGGGGATAGGGTGTGCAAAATGCAACCTCTTTCTAGACTTTGCCCCAGCTCTGCTGGCCAAGAAGATGCATCCTCATCTAAGGCTTGGACCAGCCTCCCTGGGCACCTGCTGTGCACGTAATACAGGAGGGAGGAGAAGGACCTTTCTGCCATGAGGGCCGAGGCGTGTCTGTGTCCCTCTTGGAGCCAGATGTCATGTCCTTGCTCTCTTGTCCTCCTTTGGGACAACCTAACCTGACTCAGTTCTGGCCCTGCAGGACACTGGACTTGTAGGAGGACCGGCCGCTGGGCAGAGCAGAGGCCACATTTTCTCTGACACGGCCTCAGGCCAACATTTAAGGAGCGGGGAGACAGGAGGGGCAGCAGAAAGAGTTCCCATCTGAGCTGAGGGAAGGAAAACACTATTTTCCAAAATAACATATTCTCAGGAAATCAAGCATTCAAAAGGAGACGGAAGCTTAAAGTCCAACACACTTCACCTGGAACAGGTCAGGTACGCGGCCTAAGTGAGCCCGGAGACCCGTCAGGGCCTGTCAGCATTTTACTCCCCCAGATAGAAGAGGGCCTTTTGATTTAGACCAGAGAGAAGAAATCCGGGCAACTGGGACTTCCCTGGTGGTCCAGTGGCTAAGAATCTGCCTTGCAATGCAGGGGATGCGGGTTCGATCCCTGGTCAGAGAACTAAGATCCCACATGCTGCGGGGGCAGCTAAGCCCATGTGCCACAACTACTGAGCCCTCGAGCCACAACTAAGAGCCCATGTGCTGCAAGCTACAGAGCCCACGTGCTCTAGAGCCTGCACATCACAACTAGAGAGAAGCCTGTGCACTGCAATGAAGTAAGACCTGACACAACCAAAAATAAAAATCAATAAATATTAAAAAAAAAAAAAAAAAAGAAAGAAAGAAAGCCAGCAACTGAATTCACATCTCCAAGGTCTGTTCCTGCTTCTCAAACAGCACATCAGTCAAGGAAAATCTCAGGGTTGGGTGCACCCGCCTGAACTTAGGGAAGGTGCCAGCCATGGCTCACCGTCTGAATGTAGACTGGCAGGCCAGCATGTCCTTGTCCCACAGGCTCAGAGCTAAGCTACGTGCTGAATTATGTTTGCATCTCAAGGACACTTACCCCAAAGCTTAGTTAAAGACCCCATCTCCAAATGCAGTCACGTTGGGAGTTATAGATTCAACATGAACTGGGGGTAAGGGGGATATAGTTCTGTCCCTAACATCAATATTTGGTTTACTTCCTCTGTACTGTAAGATTCTAAAGATCTGAGACCATTTTTTTTCAAGTTAATTTTTATTGGAGTATAGCTGTTTTGGGGACCATGTTATATTCACCTTCCCCAGTATCTGGCACAGAGATAATCCACACATACTGGTTGAATGAATGGATGAAGGCAGGGCTACAGGGCTGCCATGTACAGCTGCCCAGGCTGTGTACTTCACAACTCCACCCAGACTACGGTGTGAATAGAGCCTCCTGGAGTTATGTAGGACTATGTCCAGTTGGATGACCATGCCCCTTCTTCTAATGAAGAGAATTTGGGATGTGCTTTTTTCTTAATTTCCCCAAAGTCGCTATGCTATGCTCCCATAGCTGTGTAAACTCTATGTACCTCAAGTGTAAGTATTATTATATCAGTTAGGCTGTGAATAACAGAAAGCTGACCTCTTGTCTTACACAAAGGAGGATTCATTATTTTTACATAATAAGTCTGGGGGTAGCTAGGTACTGCTGTGGTTTAGAGCAGAGGTTGACCAACTTCTTCTGTAAAGAGCCGGATAGTAAACATTCTCAGGTTTTTGGAACGTATGCTGCAACTACTCTGCTTTGTCATTACAGGGCAGAGTCAACCACAGGTGAATCGCATGGGTGTGTTCCAGTAAGACTGTATTTACAGAAACAGGTGGTGGGCCAGAACGGGCTCATGTGCCACAGTCTGCCAACCCCTGGCTCCACGGAAGACTGAACAGAGAGGATGCCAGGGAGGAACGGTCGGGAAATGGTTAAGATGGTCCTGTGCTGCAGAAGGTTCCTAAGCTCGCAGACCACACCAGCTTGTCTCCACAGTTGCCACAAGTTCAGCTGCCCTTTGGGGTTTCTGACCTTTGAACCAACAGTGATCAGGGTGTCCTGGCAGAGCGACCCAGCCTCACGACCCGTCCACAGTGCCTGGAGGGTGAAAGAGGCCACAGCACCCTATCCTCAAGCCAGAGAGTCGGCGAAAACCAGAGATAAATCAGGGCAACTTCCACTTCAGCAATCAGCCCCGCCATGCTGGTGGTCGGCGACAGACTGCCACCCAGAGGGACACAGAGTAGACCCTCCGGGCCCTCTGTGACTCCCCCGAAGCCTGGTCCTCTCTCCCCTGCAGAGGGAGATGTCCTCCTTCCCCCCCACACACCATACCTCCCACGGCGGCGCATGGGCCTGGGCCCGACCCTTAGTGGAGGCTCTAACCACCCACCCGCCCAGCCACGCGGGACTGGCCACTTCTAGACGGCGTCTGTCCCCTCTTTGCACAACTCAGGCTTTGCTCTGAGATGACGGTGAAGCTCTTACTCACTGGCCTTCATTCTCTCCTTGGGATCGAAGCAAATGAGTCTGCTTTTCCTCCCGCCTGGCAGTCAGTCCTGCAAAGAATAACGATGGAGGTTATTCTTCTCATCTCGGGCTGTCGCAACGCAACACAACAGCACAGGCCAGGGGCTGAAACAACACACATTCGTTTCTCACTGTCCTGGGCGCTGCCAGGCCCAGGTGAGAGCCTGCTTCCCAGCTTGCAAACAACGGTCTTCTCCACGTGTCCTCACAGGGTGGAGGGAGGGAACTCTGGTCTCTCCCTTCTTGTAAGAAAACGAATCCCATGACCCTCATGACTTCATCTACCCCTAATCACCTTCCAAGGCCCCGCCTCCACGTACCATCACAGTGTGGGTTAGGGCATCAACACAGGAATCTGGGGGGACATAAGCTACCAGTCTGTGACATTATTATTAAGCTCCCATTTCTTGAGCCTCTACTGTATATCACAGGAGCTGTATTGGGGACATACTCCTTTCTTCTCTGTTTTTCAGATGAGAGAAGGTTCTGAGAGGTTAAACCATTTATTCAAGATTGTCTGCATGTCTCAGAGAACAGATGAGCCAGTCCACTCTGTGTAAACAAACGAGGATGGCCTAATCTTGTTCCTTCTCTGGAAATGTATTTTTTTGCCTTCATAAGAGCTCCAGGCCGCACTGTGACTGTCGTGGGCCCGAGTCACGCATGTCGTGTGTTCATGGTCTCCTGCCCCATTAAAAAACACACACACACACACACAAATTATATTTCATGATTGTGTTTGTAGGATTATTACATATTGCAGGCTGGATTATTATATATTCATCATTATTATATTCATTTTCTTCCTTCTTTATTTTGGAAGAACTTCAAGTTGAAATGTTTTCACGGACTCTTAGAAGCACCACGGACCAAGCACTGCAGCACCCCTGCCTGGAAAAGTCAGCCTGCTAACGAGCAGGCCAGGGATTTAGCCACTGGGCTGCCGAGGGGCTGCTCTGGGGGAAGTGGCACCTGGGCTCTGTAACTACTGAAGCCTGAGCCAGGAGAGATCCCCGACTTAAGCTTTTTAACCTCAGCAGGAACCTCCCTTAAGCTTGGGGTCCTCCGTGTGTCTGCAGCTCTCATGGATGAGCTAAGGGTTCACCCCAAAATTCTGGCCAGCCACTTGAGGAGTCGCCATACACACAGACCCCTTAGCCTCACTGGCTGATGACCTGTGGGGTGAAAGGTGCCATGGGGGAAAGCCTGGCATTCTGGTGTTTGGCCACAAGGGGGCACCGATGGTCCGGCCTGCTGCCTGGCACCCAGGCCTGGCCCTACCCGCCTGGATCTCAGCCCTGTCAGCCTGGCTGCCCCCTTTCTGGCCCAGGTTTGCTGAGTTGTGTGGCAGAAGTGTCACCTCCCTGGCCTCAGGCTCCTTACTGAGACACTCAAGGTGGACTGTAAAGATCTCTGAGGTCACTTCTGCTCTCAAAATTTAATTCTGCAGGAAATACAGCTGGGCCAAAGCGCAGCTGTGGGCCCCAAGGCCGGTTTCGCTTCTGCTCTGCAGTTACCCTGGCTGGGCGACCTGGGCTAAGTCACTTTCCCTCTCTGGTTCGCACTCGCTTGCTGTAAGAAAGAGGCCTTTCAGTGGGCCACCAGCCTGTCTGGAGTGTCCCCGGTGACCTTGACTTCTCTTGCTGAGAAAGGGCTGGGGGCTGGGCCATTGCAGAGCAAGGGGGCTGGACGCAGGCTGCTGGGGGCAACCCCACACCTGGAAATCAGAACCTTCTGTCTTCCGCCTCCAAGGCCCAGAGGAACTCCTGGTTCTGGGGCTGCAAAACCAACCCCAGATCCTCCAACAAGAGCTTTCACTGGCTCTGCCTGGGTCCCACTGGGATGAGGGATATTAAATGGTTGCTTTTTGTGGTAAGTGTCTCCACGGGGCTGTGAATTCCCTGGGATTTGAATACCCGGTGTCTCCAGTGCCCGGCCCAGTGGCTGGCAGCAGGCCCCACAATGAGCAGACGTGCTGCACAAGAGTCAGCTGGGTGCCGGTTAAAAATACAGAGTTCCAGGCCTGTTCCTGTGATGGATTTTGTAGGTCTGAGTGGGCCCCCCAAAATCAGCATTCTTTCAACGGGCTGCTGGGTAAAAGCACCCCACAGAAATGTTGAAAGAACGAATAACTTTCATTAGTGGGTGGGGTTTTTTCCCCCCTATCCTTTTTTTTTGTTTGTTTTTTTTGTTTTAAATCGTATCTCAGCACCTTGGAATTTGGGGAAGAGGGATGTAAAAATAGCCATTTTTCAGAGTCAGGCTTTCCCATCTCATGTTTAGTCTGGGACCGCGTCCTCAGCCTCTCCGGGGCTGCGGTCACTGTGGAATGCTGGTGGCAGTGCACGCCGGGCGCCCCTGAAACCCCTGGCGCTCAGCCCCCCGCGCCTGCCCAGGGCAGCTGGGCCACCACCAGCCGCCTCCTGGGGCTGGCCGAGGGCACGCCTGAAGCGTCTCTCGTCCTGGTGGGCCTCGATTGCCCCCGCACAGGAGAAACAGTTGAGCGGATAAATGATGTCTGCACCAGAGAACAATCTAACTCACAGACGCAAAGTACCCGCACCTGAGGGTACTACCTCCCCACCTCCTAAACCCCAACCCCGGCCAGGTGGGACGACGCCACCGCCCCTCCTCCTGCCCTTGGGGAGGCAGCCCCCGCCCCCTGCAGGGGTGCCGGGCCTCCGCAGGGCCCCTCCGGGCTGCCTCCCCCTGTCAGGGCCCCGACACCCACACAGCCTGCACACTCTCCCCGCTCCGTAAGCCAGGCTCCAAAACCAGTCATAACAAGCTCACCAAAGAGGAAAGGGGGGGGGGGAGTTAAAAAAAAAGGTATCTTGGCCTCAAAACCCAGAACCCGATTCACTTCCAAACCACATAAAACAGCCAAGTGACAAGGCTCCCGCGTCTGGGCTGAGGGCTTTGCCTCGGGGGGGGTCACCCCCCCCCCGCCCCGCCCCGGAAATGGGCGTCTGGAAGAAGCGGGTTGTGGTCAGACCTGCTCTCTCATCGCGCCCCCTCCTCGGCCCCCCAGCGGCCCCCATCCTCTTGGGGAGCAGAGAGGAGAGTCTGGCTGGTGGGTTTCCTGTTAACTCTTCCAAGCGTTCCTGCCCCAGGCCTGTGCAGTTCAGCCCCTTCGTCCCTCCCTGGGAGGGGGCACAGCCCCAAGCCCCCGGCCCCTCACCTCCCTTCTCTACTCACCTCTTCCCGGAGGCAGCAGCCAGCCCTGCGTGGGGCCTCGGGGCCTCTGAGTCCGGGCGTGGGGCGCGCAAGGGAAGCGCGAGCGGTCACTCGGAAGACGGCTCCGGGGGGTCAGCCTGCTGCTGCTGTTGCTGCTGTGCTCCGTGAGGTTCCAGGGGCCAGGTCCTTCCGCCCCGCAGACCCCTCTTCTCAGCACCGCGCGGCTAACGGCGGGAGCCCGGCCACGGGGCGGGCGTCACCGACAACGCCAGGCGCTCATGCACGCGCCCACGCACCGCGCATGCGTCGTCTCAGCGTTCAGTGAGTCCTGAGCACCTACTCTGCTCTCTGTAGACCCGCAGGCGGGCGGTTCCAGACGTTGGGCTGAAGAGACCCAGGCTCTGAGTTACAGCTCGGCCAGACTGCAGAACCACAGGGAGCCGGGGTCTGAGCCTGGGCTGGCGGGCCAGCGGCTGCAGCTGGGACCCATTACCTGGTATGGAGAGCTCGGCCGCCTCGGGTCAGGTGTCTTTCCTGCTTGGAAGAGGAGATGAGGGTGCCTCCCTCGACCCGTGGAGCAGTGCAGGCCTGTGTGGTTGATGTGGCCGGCTGGGGTCCTGCCTCCACCACCGCCTCCTCTGATCCTGCACTTACCCCCCAACCCCAAGCCCTGTCTGGGAGATGCCCTCCAGGACACGACAGCCCACATTTTTTTTTTTGTCTGCGTTGGGTCTTCGTTGCTGCGCTCGAGATTTCTCTAGTTGCGGCGAGCAGAGGCTACTCTTCGTTGCGGTGCACGGGCTTCTCATTGTGGTGGCTTCCCTTGTTGCAGGGCACGGGCTCTAGGCGCACGGGCTTCAGTAGTTGTGGCTCGCGGGCTCTAGAGCGCAGACTCAGTAGTTGTGGCACACGGGCTTAGTTGCTCCGCGGCATGTGGGATCTTCCCGGACCACGGATTGAACCCGTGTCCCCTGCATTGGCAGGCGGATTCTTAACCTCTGCGCCACCAGGGAAGCCAGACAGCTTTGTGCCTCTGAACTAGACGCTCTGTGAAGCTCAGGCTGGCGTGTCCCTCCTCCCGGCCAGGCTGGGTGATGAGAGGTGGGGACAGCCTCCCAACTGCGCTTTGCCCCTTTTTCAGCAGTGCGATGCTGCACGGTATTTAACCTTCTGAGGTTCAGTTTCCTCACTAGGAACATGGGGAGCCTCGTAGTTCCTACATCCAAGAATCCCAAAAGACTCCTTATTATTCAGTCTTCCCAGGATGGTTTCAAAACAAAATGCTGGAGAAACAGTCCTCATAAAGGCTCATTTTATGGAAGTCTTCTAATGTGTCAGGTGCAGTCCAAGTGTTCACACGAATTATCCCATGACATCCTCAGACTACGTCTGTGGGGTAGATATCACCATGATCCCTAGTTTGCTAAAGAAGAGCGGATGCCCAGAGGACTTAAGGAACGTGCACAATGTCACACACCTACTGGTGGTGGAGGTGAGACTCCAGCCTGGGCGTTGTAGCCCAGAACCCCCGCTCTTTGTTTTCCGAGTTTATTATGGTATAGTGGACATGACATAGTGGAAGTTTGAAATGTACAACCTGGGAACCCACACTTGTAATCACCACCCTGTCCCACCTTCCAGTGTGGAAGCGTCAGCCAGAGCCTCCCCTGCTTTTAGAGCTCCTAGCATCTCCTTTCAGAGCTGGAGGAGCCCTACCCTCCAGGTTTTGGATGAAGAGGTGATGTGTGCAAAGTGACTAACCAGCGGTGGGGCAGGGAGCTTGCTCTGAAGCACACAACGCTTGTCGCTTTCAGAAAATTTCCTCTGGCTTGAGTCTGTCCAGAGATCTCAAGGCTCCTTTAGGACTTGGAGTCACTGCGTTCCACTGGGCCTTCTACTCACTATGTGTGTCCGAGAGGTGCCCTGCTGCCCCAGCCCGAGGGATGAGTTGGCAGAATCTTCTGGCTCTGGTCTTGCTAAGCTCCGCCCACACCTGCTAAGAACACTTGGTCCTCAGGGCAAGGCCCACTCTCCTCGGAGTGCTATTCAAGGCCCTGCCCACCTGCCACCTGCTCCATCCCATGTGGAGAAATCAGCTCTAGGGTCTCCCTGGACACCCCTCCCCAGTGGCACCTGTACCCTTCCTCACACTCATGGCTCACACATCCGTCTGACCCGTAAACTCCTTCACGTCTCTGTCTCCACTTAAGCATCCCATGATCTCACGGAAAATTGTGGATGCTGGATGGCGACAGCCATCCCTAAGATAAGAGGGTCAAAACTCAGGATGGAGAGGGGTTTTCCATCCACCCCCAAGAAAATCAACACAAGAAGCGGAACCAGAAACCAGATCCGAGGTGTCCTGTGTGGAGTTGTTTATGGAGGGACATAGCCTCCCCGCCCAACTCTACCCCAGGCACTGAGAAGGAGCCCATTGGGGGTGGGGTCATCACACACAAGCTGCGGACTGGCAGAGCACCCCCTCAAACGTATATGACTGTGCTTCCAACAGGTGAGCATCTCCTACCACGAAAACCTACTCCCCGGATTCCTCCTTCCCCAGACTCCTGTACCCAGAGTGAGAGAATGCATAAAAATGAAACAACAAAACGAAACGTGTTGCCCCAACCCCCAAACACCCTTTGTTAGAGTGGTCCAGAAGATTAAATGGCTGGTGGAGACCACAGGATTTTAAACTCAGGCTCCTGTGGACAGATGGGCACCTGGCCTTGAGGGGAGAGCCCAGAGGAGAGGCCGGGAGGGCAAGCAGATGGAAATCTGGCAAGAGCAGGAGGCTGCTGTGAGCGGCGGTTAGGTGAGGAAAACTGAGCTGGTGTGAGCAGAAACCATGGGAAGGAGAAGGCTTTTCCAAGAAATTACAGCGGTATCGCCTTCCAAGTGGCTGGGGACCTCTGCAGACATGATCTCATTGCCCCTCCCCCAGGGCCTCTGGGGGAACCCGGGGTCAGGGGTCTCTGCCCCGGCCTGAGTTCAAAGAAGACTCCACCTGCCGACTCTCCCAAAGAGGCCTGAACCTGGCGTTCCCTCACTGACAGCGGAGGGACCAGAAAACTCCCCTCACAGCTGATTCGACAGAAGTCTCCTCAAGCTTCAAGGGCCCTTAAAAGCACTTGAAATCTCTCAGGACAAAAATGACTGTAACAAAAACAGTTATTCAAGGAGAACTGTTTCATTCTGTACCAAGGGAGTTGATTGTCTATTTGCTTTGGTAAGAGTGGCCAGCCACTCTGCTCAGGGTTCTCTAGAGGAACAGAATCAATCGGATATATAGACATACAGAGGAGATTTGTGATAGAAATTGGCTCATGTGATTATGGAGGCTGAGAAGCCCCACCGTCTGCCATCTACCAGCTGGAGACCCAAGCGAGCTGGGGGTGGGGGGTGATTCAGTCCAAGTTCGAAGGCCCAAGAACCAGGAATAATGGTCGATGTCCAAGGGATGGATGTCTCAGCTCAGAGCGAGCAAACTCCCCCCTTCCTCCATCTTTTTGTTCTATTTGGGCCCTTGATGGACTGGATGGTGCCCACCTGTGTGGGCGAAGGTGGTCTTTCCTCAATCCACCAATTCAAATGCTAATCTCTTCCAGAAATACCCTCATAGCCACACCTGGAAATCATGTTTACTGGGCATCGCTTAGCTCAGCCAATGTGACACATGAAATGAGCAATCACACCAGTGGTGTGGATGGAGATGCTTGTGTGCCTGGGTAGAGAGCATTTGGGGCATCAGCTAAATGATGTTTCTGAGCCTCTTCTATGCCATTAGCACTTTGCTAGACACTGGAGGATACATGAGCCAGAGCGAGACCTTATCAGCAGGTGGCCGTGTGGCAGTGGGAGCAGAGTCAGCTCAGAAGAAGAGAAGTTTGGTGGCCCTGGGCACTCTGGGAAGGCTTTGTGATGTGCCATCATTATGAGCCAGCCCTTGTCTGTCAGGTACCAGCTGTGTGCCAGCTCTGTGCTAAGTGATCTCTAGACACCATCCCATAATATAATCTCCATAACAACCCTGGGGGCTGTATAGCTGCAATTCCCGTTCACAGCCCTTAGAGCAGTGCCAGGAGCTGTCCATTGATGTTCTTTAGTGAATGGTTGACAATAATGCCAATAATGCCATTGCAAAGTAAGGAGACTGAAGCCACCGAAGAAAAGTAATTTGTCGCTAGTTGCCAAGAATGAGAACAAGGGAATGGGCTTCCCTGGTGGCGCAGTGTTTAAGAATCCGCCTGCCAATGCAGGTGACATGGGTTCGAGCCCTGGTCCGGGAAGATCACACATGCTGCAGAGCAACTAAGCCCGTGAGCCACAGCTACTGAGCCTGCACTCTAGAGCCTGCAAGCCACAACTACTGAGCCTGCATGCCACAACTACTGAAGCCTGTGTGCCTAGAGCCCATGCTCCGCAACAAGGGAAGCCACCACAATGAGAAGCTTGCGCACCGCAACGAAGAGTAGCCCCTGCTCGCCGCAACTAGAGAAAGCCCGCAAGCAGCAAGGAAGACCCAACGCAGCCAAAAATAAATAAAAATAAAGAAATTAAAAAAAGAAAAAGAACAAGGGAAGAAGACCCAGACCCCCAGGGTCCCGGCAGTTAGAGCCCAAGCCTCAGAGCCGGACAGCCCCGCCTGGACCAGGCTCTGCCTGTGAGTGGCTGACCTTGGGGAGAACATGGACTCTGAAGGCATTGACTGGAATATGGAAATAACAATATTTCTTTCAGAGGGCGGTTGGGAGGATTAAATAATATAACGAATAAACTTGCTCAGCACAGGACTGGCCTAGAGTAATTGTTCAATAAATTACTGTCATTTCATGAGCTTCACTCGAGCCCTGGGTGTATGACAGCCTCTTAGAGTCAGGCTTCACCTCCTGAGATTGTGTTTTTTCAGCCCTCCTTTGATGCGACGTCTTCCTGAAACTTCGGGCTAATCATGCGAGTCTTCCACGTCAACACAGAATGGCTCATACAGGAACCTAACTAAGGCTTTTTAGTGTAGACATTCTCGTTTTTGAGAGAAAACAGCCCTGTTTATTTTAGCTGCCAACACGATTGAAGTTAGAACTTGCTGACCGTGGTCATTGAAAGACACTAGAATAAATGACCAAAGGCTTTTTGGAACTCTCTTTACCTAAATACTTTGAAGAATAAGGATATTAGAGCTA